CGCCATGCCGACCGCCCCGCCCCGCCGGCGCGCCGCGATGACGGACGGCAGCGGGCGGCGGAACCCGATAGAGGCGTCCGTCGTCCCCGGTCCCCCCGTCCCGTTCCGGGTCCCGCCGGCCGGGAGGCGGGAAGAGGCCGCAAGGCGAGATTTTGCTTTTTTTTTTTTTTCCTTCGGGAAGCAAATTCCCGCACAAGGCCGTGGGTTTTACCAACCGTGAGGAAACCGAATTTGGAAATCAAAGAGGTTAACTGACCCTAACCACATCACTCAAAAACCAGCGTTTGGTTCAGTGTTTTATTTCCTCCAGCACGCAGCAATACAGGAATAGCTACAGTGATCCTGGATGCACCAAAAAAAGGTATTTTTAAAAATAAAAGCACATTTTCATGAAAACATCTTTCTGCTGCTTGCTTGTGGCAAACAGAACGACCCGGTTCTTCTACAGAAATTTTAACTGTGCTGGTCTCTCAGGCAGCAGGAGAGCCACTCTGAATTCCATTTTAGCCTTGACTGCATTTTATATAAATGCAATTGAGCTGCGTTCCTGCAACACACCTGGCATCGCTCTGAGTGCCCTGGCCACAAAGGAGCAGAGAAACCGTACCGGCACCTCAACCCACAGGCTGGGCAGATGAGAGTTTCCACACCTTTTTTTGACTCTCGACTACACACGACACCTTTTCTGTACAAATACAGGCCAAAAACATTAGAAGAACATGTCAAAAAACCAAACAAAACCCAAAACTTTTATTGCAGCACCGTTTGCCTATTCTGTTTACCTGCATCTAGCACAGGCACTAAATAAGGCAGCTGTAACAGCAAATGAAATTAAGGTCTGTACCATTATTAACACATAGACAGGTACACAAAACAGGGACACTTCCATTTTTCAGCCAGAATAGCCAGGCACATTACAAACTGAGGCAGAAAAATATACGCATAAAAATAAAAGGCTGCTTAGAGGCTCTGCCCTATCAGTTTCCCAAACCGTGAGTATTTTCAATGCGAGTACATTGCAACAGATGAAGATTCTACTTTATAAGGCTAACAAAGAAAAAAAAAAAACAAAACACTTTTGTCATCTTGCTGGTACAAACCTACAGCAGACTTCAGTCTATAGTCAATTACTAGTTTGGACAGCTGTCCGTCATGGACATCTCTCCCTCAAAGATCAAAGAGCACTGAATGGGTGGGATATGCTTGTGTCTAGCTTATCAAACCATTTCTGCCCACATGCTCTAAAGGCAATTTATTTTTCATGTTGCTACATTAGCAATGTGTTTTGATATGCAGATATTTTAATGTCAGTCAATTACATTGGAAGCCAGCCAAGAACCCAGTGGAAACACTGACTGAAACATGTAGGTTTATCTCCATCATTTAGACATTGATCTTAAAATCTCTTGGGCAACACTAGGCTACGTGCCTGCTTCCTACTCATACCAAGCACATGGACAAAAGAAGTCCAGCTGAACTAGCGGCTATTAAGGTTGTAGGCTAACAGGAACCACCAGTAAAAAACTCCAAGTGAACTGAGCTCACCCAAGTCTGAAATACCTCATGACCAAAGAGACGGAGCATGCCTGATTTCTGTAATGGCCGAGGGGGGGGACAGAAGGCTAAGGACTCACGGGCACACTGAATTTATGGTGGTTTACCAGACCACTGGTAAACACAGTGCCCAAGCCCTACAAACCCCACTAGGATGCAGTGAGGTTGCATCTCAGATACTGCGTTTCAGCAGAACAGAGCTGCGATGAACGGTTTGGAGGGAAGGAGGGGAGAAATCTTACTGATTTTTTTGCCCAGGTACACATCTTGCTCGTGAGGAGCAGTACAGGAGCATGAACTGAGGCATGTCAGCTCTGATGGTGATTATTACCATTACCCTAGCAAAGGCAAGACTCATTTAGACAGGTCAGTGTCCAGTCAGACCACTCCAAAGGGTGACACATTCACCTGCAATAGCGAGACATCAGGAAGAGACCTCCAGAGGAAAAGCAGCCACATTTTGAGAGATCTGGAATGAGGTGGGACTGCCAAGACGGGAGGCCAGTATAGCAAGATGCAGTAGTCAAGACATGAAAAATCCCGTTTTGACAGATTTAGTGTGTGTACGTGTGTCAGCATCGTGGTTGGCGTGGTTGTTTTGAACTTGCTTGTTTTCTAAAGAAAGCAGCGACATGCACATGCCAGAAATGAAACAGCTTTCAACGAGCCAAAGATTATGGTATTCAAGCACCTGAGGTAGCAAAGAAAGATGAAGATCAGTAGGTGGGTTTTAGGCAGAGTTTAGCTACAACAAAGTCAAGAAATGAACATAGCACAGGTAAGGGCAGAAGTGTCGTAAGAGTTCAGACTAACTCAGAGAGTTCAAATAAGCTAACAGTTTAAGAGTGTGGAAGTTACAGAAGCAATGGGTAGATCTACATCCATTTTTCATCACACTCAGAGATATTACTAATTCCAGCTTGGGAACACTAGAATATTACTGCTATAAGAAAAGACTAAAAAGAGCACAGGATGGGTGATTAAGGAGATGCTATAAAAACATAGCAGATGGCTATCGTACCATGGCACGACTCCTCTGTTCAGATGTGTGCTTCTAACAAAAGTCTAGAGGCTTAATCAAAATGCAACAGCATAGAATAAAAGGCACACAAAATATAAAGTGCTTGATGAAGGGAGGGAATGCACCTATGTTTTGTCAGTGTTCCTGTTAGAGATGAAAGCCCAACACCAGAGTACCTTCCAGTGATGCAAACTTAAACTGGGGAGGAGGAAAATGAGTGTTTCCAAAAGAGAAGTCCATTCTTCTCTCCAAACCACTGCTCACCAAGCAAAGAGATACAGAGGTTCATACACACGCAGATCTGGGGGAGCTGGTAAGACCCCACCACAGCTGAGTGCTCCCCTCGGGGCGCATTAGCAGAGCTGAAGGAAGTATTCCTTCCTCTACCCCCTGACTTCAAAGGAGGCAAGGAACAGGAGTTCATCACTGCAGGCAGAAGATTAAATGTCAATCTCGTTAACCTGCGGGAAGACTGAAGGAGGAAGAAAAGCTAATGTGCCACTAGCTGCAGAACCTTTTGTGATCCCCGTTTCTTAACTAGTGGAAAAACCCCTCAAAACCTCTCAATTCATTCCAAGCATATATTTCTGAGGTGATAAGAGTAGTTTTGGCTTTCATTGTATGAAAGACCACCATAGGCCAGGCTGTTTTAACCTGTCAGACATGGTAATATGAACATTTCCTCTTTGTTCAAGCTTCTTATTCAGCTGATGATTTAAAACAATGGTAAAGCTGGATCAGAAATAAGTTCTAATTGTTCTGTTTCTGAGATTTTTAAAGCTAGCTAGTTAAGATAGCATAAATTCTGTTACTTATTCATTATATAAAAGTTGTCTAATGTTCACCTTCCCTGCAAATGCATAATTTATTTATTTTGCCATTGTCTTTTTCATCCTTCTCCTTCCTTCAGTTACTGCCAGGGTGGTTAAAATATTAAGACTGTAAGCTCAAACTACATACTTACATATACACTTATAATTATCCTTAACATGCTGTTTCCTTATATATGCTGTCAAAGAAATTTTGCTATTTTGGACTTCTCAGCTTTAGTTGTTGCAAAGAATAAAAGTCTTTTTGATGGAATTGACATATATTAGAGCTAGAGCTATGCTTTTACAATCTAATAGCTGTACTTTGTTCCTGATTTGAGAAATCAGTGAAGCACAACGCACATCAGAGGGGATGAAGCAAATAAAACATTTGGTGCAAACACTCAAAACGGGATTTCACGAGAATTTGTTTGGAGTAGAAACCAACTGGGATAAAACACAAAGAATCCACAAGCTATTGAGAAAAGAACCACCGCAAAAAGGATGGAGTGGACTCATCTGCCACTCCGTGTAAACTAGGTGGATGCAGAAGAGATGAGTTTCTACCAATATAAACACATGCTACCCATTACACATCTTTTTCTTGTTTTATGCTGCTCACTGTGCTTTGTATCTACTGATTTTGATTGTGCTAAAATAAAAACCACTGTCGTTTTATTTCTTTAAACCAACAAAAACATTGAAGTAAAAAAAAAGTTACATATAGTTACATACAGTAAACAAATTTACGAAAAAAACCCAACCCTACCCCCCCTCCCCAACAATACTCCTTTAATAGATTTGGCACTTTCACCATGTTTTACTAAGTACAACTTTCCACAGTACCATACGCACGCTAAACCCTAAGTGAAAAAAAACTTTACAGTGTTCACTTCTATCGGGGGAAAAGGGAGGGAGGGACACGGCAACAAAGCACACGAATAAAAATATCTAGTCTATATCAAACGTACCTCTCCATTAGGGGAATTTAATAGAAAAAAAACCTACCACTTATAATTTAACACCAAGATCTCTTCCTGGCAACCAGGATTATAGGTTTATGCTGAATACAATCTTATGTTCAAATACGGAGATAAGCAGCATTATCCCAAAACCCAAGAGAATCCCAGCGTTCTGTAACAGGAAGTACCCCCAGCGGCTACATCCATGATCACTGGCATCATTGTGTAGCATTTCAGGCACCTAAACAAACAAGACAATGTTAAACGCCTTCAAAATAAACAGTTACTTCAAATGCAGTTCTTCAACCATGAGGCATGAGGTAGCAGAGCCTTACTCATCTAGTCCTTCCTGTTGACTGCATTAATGCTACTCCTTGAATTAGCTGTCACTCAACATGAACAACATTATCAAGAGTCTACTTTTGTATTTAGAGACAATCTGCAGTGTTCCAATTTCTAATGTTTTCATGATAATTATGCTGATGTCTTAAGCCAGCCATTTACTCAAGATATGATTATTTACCAACTGATTTAATCAAGCCACACCAGGAATTATATCCTTAAGACGACAGTTAAGCTTTCACGAACATACACCAAATTCTTTATACTTCTGAGGTACAGTACAGATTTTAATACAGTTCTGTCTCTGTCCCAAGAAGCAGTAATGATTTAATACAAAAGCTGAAGCGCATTTGGTGGCACTGACAGCGTGCAACTTGCAGTCTTACTGGCTACCTGCTTATACTAGCCACTGTCAGAAGCAAATTTTTTACTGCTGCTAACTGCCTTTGTTTAACAACGAAGGGAGAAACAATCTCCATTACTACAGTAGTCTAAATAAAAGCAATCTTCCACCTGAACATTTAACTGAGCACTTGCACTGCGTACTCATCAGCGCCTTCAAGCGCAGAAAAAGATGACGGAGAGAAAATGGAAGAATTTATCTTGAGATCAAAATATAATGAGCATTAATTCTTAAACTATGTTATATAAAATTCAAGTAGGTCTAGCCACTTACCATGTCCACAAGAGCCACATACATGAACAGGCCAGCAGTAAGTGCAAATATCCACATAGAAACATTGTCTGCATAATGGCCGATAAGAATCCCAGTTGCCATTCCAAGATAGGCCAGCATAGCTGACAGAGCATTATAAAGCACAGCTTGCTTGACAGTCATACCAGCTTTTAGAAGTACAGCAAAATCTCCTAAACAGGGAAAAAACAAAACAAAAGTTTTCATCCTCAGATAACTATTGCAGTATTCGTGAATTCTCCTCTTACTTACAAGATTACTAAGCTATTTTTATACTGTTGTCTGCCTTATTTTTTTCCTTCATAACATCACAAATCACTGGGGGACAGAAAATTAAAAAGCGCACGTGAAGAACAACACAGCAGCAAACATTGTAAGTTTATAACCTTAAAGTCTCAGGGTTTTTGGAAGAAGCAGCTTTTAGTGTAGCTTGCATTTAAGCCAACGCTGTAAAATCCTGCAGTACTTGATATGCATGAGCATTCCAAAGAAGTTTCTAAAATAAAATATTCCCACTTAATCGCATAAAGCAATGGTGATGATTCCATTTATTATCTTGTAACTGCTCTTTGTACATTAAGTCTAGCTGTTTCATAAATTTAGAAATAATTTCTTCATTAATTTCTGTAAATGATCCTTAAAGTCTTATTTTTACTTGAAGGAATGATAAGACTACCAGCCAGAAGCAGGTTTTCCATAATTCAGAATAGAATTTTTTTTGTTGTTTAGATAAATTAGATCTAAACCAGAGTAAAATAATATAAGCTTATTATTTGGAAATAAAATGGATTCTATATAAAAAAAGTTATCTCCAGCTAAAGTAAACAAAAGCAATCTTCAAAGCTGAGCTGAGTAATTTGTTACAACAGCTTTTCCCACAAGATATTACAATTAAGATGAACTGGTACGTTATAAACATTGTTTTGCATTAACAACAGAATGATCCAATTTTATCCCCAGCTAACTTCAGCTAGTCCCATTTGTTTCAGTATTCCTACACCACTTCATGTCCTCTGTTAAAGAAGGTATTCCTATCAAGTTTTCTGTGCTGATTAAAGGAGCATGATTTAAATTTTTAAAGATTTTTCTTGCTTCCAAAACCAATAGAACATTTGAATCTAAAATTATCAGATTAGCAACATGAATGTATTTTGTATATTTGTACTAACAACATTTAGTACATGTAATTAATACAAGTTCCACGATTCCCGTGGAATTTATATTACAATGAACAAGACTCAATTCCTCCCACATCATAAAACCAGCTGTGTTTTCTCCAGAGTAATGTATTTCTGTATCAGGTTATTGTACAGACAGACAATGTATCAAACTGTTTAATAAATAGTTCAATGTATACACATACTGGTTTACAAGCTCCATTAAATGAAATTGAACAGTCTACGCTCTAGGGAATTAAACCTTTAAAAAGTGCAAGCAAACTGCTCTTTCCTCATTCTATACACCAGGTATGCCTGTGTCCATGACAGCTAAGAAAGAAATACCACTTGCACATTCAAAATGATTCGACAATTGGAAAGATCAGCTTCGTTCCGAGTTAAACTAAGCAGCTACACCCTATTCTCACATGCTGCCCTGCAAAAGGGCCAAATACTAAACTTACACTGTAAGACACATGTATTCCCATGAGAAATTATGGTTATGAATTTAAATCACTTGAGCTTGAAAGACAAACTATTTCCAGGAAGATTTCTAAGTAGTTCCAAGTTTAATTTAGAGCTACAGCAGTTCTTTGCAAGACTTAATGAAAAAGCAGCAAGTGTTATGCAGAAAGGAGTTGGACTAATTGTGACCTGCCTTTTAACAGCACAAACACAAGAATAAAATTAAAGAGAGATGTGAGAAAAGCAAATTCTGACATGTATTCTCCTGCAATTCACAATTTATGTTGCTAAGGAGAATAAAAACTACAATTGAACTATACCAAACAAGTTGTAAGTAACTGCAAGAGACACTTGAGTTTTAAACAAAGTAGCTGAAATATTTAGATTTTTAAAAAGGAAGATTAACTCAATTACAAAATAAACAGCCTTTAAAAGTATTCTTGGGTAGACAGTCTGACAAAGATGAAGTTTTTTACTGTGCCACAGAGTGAAATCACTTATAATTCTCCAGAGTGCACCTGTAAGTACTTATACCTGCAGCATATGGAAATATTGGAGTCTTACCTAGCTCATGAGGTAATTCATGGCAAAATACAGCCACAGAAGTGCTTAAACCACTAGATAACCCTTCAGTAAAGGCTGCTCCTATGAAGAGACAGGAAAAAAAACAAAACCATTACTCCACATTCAGACATGACATGCAGAAGCATTGTTGCATATGCTTGTATCAGATTAGGACATTAGTTTCACTCCATTTTTTCTTATGCTTGTGGAACCATTTAAACTTTAACTGAACAGTTGTTTATGATTCGTAAGTTTCAAAATCAGAAGCAACATAGAATCCTTCAATTAGTCAAAACAAACCAAATCTCACTATCTTATTTCTGAACTAAGCCCAATACCTTTCAACAACACAACCCCCTCAAAAAAATGCAATAAATGGAAATACTGTCAGAAAAGACACTTTTTTTTAAAGATACAAAGGGAAGAAGGCAGCTCAGCCGCCTCAGAGTGTTGTGGTTTAACCCCAGCCAGCAACTAAGCACCACGCAGACACTCGCTCACTCCCCTCTCCCCACCCACCCCCCCCAGTGGGATAGGGAGGAGAATCAAAAGCAAGTAAAACTCATGGGTTGAGGTAAGAACAGTTTAATAATTGAAATAAAAAGTAAAATATAATAATAAATAGTAACAAAAAGGAAGATAACAAAGAGAGAGTGAAACATAACCCAAGAAAGACAAGTGATGCACAATGCAATTGCTCACCATCTGCTGACCGATGCTCAGCCAGTCCCCGAGCAGCAATCTGCTCCCCCTGCCAACTCCCCCCAGTTTATATACTGGGCATGAAGTCACATGGTATGGAATACCCCTCTGGCCAGTTTGGGTCAGATGCCCTGGCTGTGTCCCCTCCCCACTCCTTGTGCCCCTCCAGCTCTTGCTGGCTGGGCACGAGAAGCTGAAAAATCCTTGATTTAGGCTAAACATTGCTTAGCAACAACTGAAAACATCAGTGTGTTATCAACATTCTTCTCATACTAAATCCAAACCACATTATACCAACTAATAGGAAGCAAATTAACTCTATCCCAGCCAAAAACAGGGCAGAAGAGTCAGACTCTGGAAAAAGGGAAGCCAATTCAAGGCTATATAAGAGAGGCTATATAGTCACATGAAATCAGCAGTGAAGGATTGTGAATTCTAGGCAGCTTGCACATAAATGAACTATCATACTTTAAGTGGAGGAAAATAAAACAGAAAAACACCTTGAACTAGTCCAACAGTCCTCATCTTTCTTGTTTTCTCCACTCCTTCTATTGCTTGCTATTGTTTTATTTGACAGCAGCTCAGGAGGAAGCAGCACACGGCAGGGCTGAAGAGCTGAACCGCAGCTCACACGTGGCACGGGAGGTCCCCGGCTGCTCGGAGAGTCTCACTGAGAGGTGCAGCAGAACCACGTCCAGCTTCCTCTTCAGCTGCTACCAGGAGCGTGCCAGCAAACAAGATGCTGCCAATAAGCAGTCAAAAGAGGCACGAGGCCATGTCGCAGTAGTTGGCACGCAAGGGACGCAGGAGTACTCCTCACAGAGGAAGAGCTACAATGGAGAAGAGACCACAGGAGACAATCCCCTCTCTCTGCTGGGATCACCACCCCCAGTACTCCAGCAGCCTCTACCCAGATGTAGCTCCTGAGGGTGGACACTGCTATCCAGGTCTTCATCTGCAAGAAGTGTCTGATGCTCCTGCCTGCAGTGACAACAGCAGCAGCTTTACCTCTGGGATGGGTGCTGGGGCAGCCAGTGAAGGAGATGCAAGAAGTAGTGAGCAGGCATCTTTGGATGAGCGATAATGAACAGGGGACTGAGAAGGTCTTCAGAAGAGGTTCTACAGAGGCAAGAGCCCAAGCCCCTTCAGACTAAAGAGGAAGGCAGGAACAAAGCAGCACTGGAATAGGAAACATGAACTCCCAAGATGGGTAAAATTTGAAAATGGCAAAGCCTGGCACCAGGAAAAACCCTTCTCCCCCACTTGCAGCTGCTAATCTGAAGAACATGGTCATGACCCTGGCAGCAGTGAGAGGATAAATGGGTTCTGCCTAGCCCAGAATATTTGTTCAGCACATCAGGTTAGGGCCAGCAATACAAAAAGAAAGGAAAGATTTTTAGTGATAGGAGATTCCCTCTCGTGCAGGATAGAGGGCAGAGGCAGACCTGCCAACCAGAGCTACTGCCCAAGGAAGTCCTTTGCTTCCCTGGAGCCTGCCTTGATGATGCTGTGGAGATACCACCAAAGCTCGTTTGGCCTGTCATGGATAGATACAGACTGCCTAGAAAAGACAAACACAAGTCTTTTTTTTTCTTGCCTATCTACATAAAGGAGTTCCTTGACCGCACAGAGCTCCAGTATAAAACTATGTATGAATGAAATTCCTTGTGTTTATTGAGTCTCTTGGTGAAGATCAGAGTAACACTAGGAATATGGTTACAAAACACCTAACCAAGAAAAGGTGGTGGATAAGGCTACCTATGAACAACCACATAAGACATCACCATTCACATGAGAGTTTTCAGCTGTGAAGGTTAATAGCACTGGGCACATAATCCAGGATGTTCCTTAATTTGGCAATGGTTTCCCAATACAAATGATACAAGAGCCAGCCAGTATTAGAGTTCTACTTGACCTGCTGCTCACAAATGAGGAAGAACTGATGGCAAATATAGCAAAAAATGGCATCTTGAGCTCCAGTGAGCATGAGGTAACTGAGTTCAGGATACAGAAGAAAGCTGGGAAAGAAAGACACAAAGTTAGGACTCTAGATTTTAATGAAGCAGACTTTGACTGACTTAAGGAATTGCAGGTTAGAATACCCTGGGAATCGGAGGAAAAATGCCCAGAAGAGGCAGCTGATTTGCAAAGTATGCTTAACAGAGTGCACAAATGAACTACTCTGATGCACCCAGCTAAGCAGCGTGTGTCTCAATGAATTGAGACTCCAAAAGGAAGCACACAAGAAATAGAAACAAAGACTGGCAACAAGGAAAGATGAAAGCAGTGGAACAAAAAGGAGGAAGACCAAAGCCCAGCTGGAGCTAAGACTAACAAGACACCAATGATAACAAGAAACAGTTCTACAGCAATGCTAGCTGAGAAACAAAGTTCAGGAGAAATTTGCATCTGCTGATGGATGGGGAAGGGAACCAAGCAGTAGGCATAAAAAGAGGCTGAAGCACCAGGACTGCCTTCATCTCAGTCTTCAGAGACAGATTGCAGATCCCAGCACCGTTCCAGAAAGAAAGGGACAGCAAACAGCAGAGAAGCAACAGTTTAGAGATACGTAGAAAAAAATGGAAACGCTCAGATGCATCCTGGGATGAGTCACCATCCCTGGAGGCATTCAAAAAGCTTGTAGATGGGGTACTCCATAACATAGTTCGGTAACATGGTTTAGTGGGCATGGATGATGGTTGGACCCAATGATCTTGAAGGTCTTTTCCAACCTAAATGATTCTATGGGACTCACCAAAGGGTGCTGACAGAGTTGAGCGATGGTAGACTGCAGCCTTGCAGTCACATCTATGGAAAACCATGGCTACAGAAGACCCCACTGGAACTCCGGGAAAAGGACAACATTATTCCCATCTTTAAGAAAGGCAAAGAACAGGACTCGGGGAACAGTCAGCCTCAGCTCATTTCCTGGAAAGATCATGTTGAATATCCTCTTCAAATCCCTCTCCAAATGCTTGACCCAGCTTGAGGCAATAACTGACTACAGAGATGGCAACAGCAGTGAATATAACAGAACTTGACCTTAGTAGGATTTCTGACACTGTCTCCTACAGCAGTCTCATCTGGGAGCAGAGGAAGTACAGGCTTGACAGTTAGATGACTGCACATTGGCTGGACTGCTGGGCTAACAGGGCCTGATGGTTGGCTAGTAACAAGTAGAGTTCACCAGGACAAATACTGCAACTGATTTTCTTCAGTATCCTCACTAATGATCTGGATGACACGAACTGCACCATCAGCAAATTTTCAGACGACACTAAACTGAGAGGCAGGGGGGAGAAAGTAAGGGCTGAGTTGACACATCAAGCACAAGAGCTTTAGACAAGACAGACTGTGGTAAACTTGAAGACTAGGCCAACAGAAATCCTATGAAGTTCAAAGAAGAAAAGTGAGAAGTTCTGCACGTGGGGCAGAACAACCTCAAGCATTAGGACAACGTAGGAACTGACTGGCTGAAATAGCAGCCTTCTCAAAAAGGACACAAGGATAATGATGGACAACAAGTTGAATATGAGCCAACAGTGTGCCCTCATTGCAAGCACAGTGAACCACAAACTACATAGTCTTAGGAGAAGCAAGGCTAGCAGACTAAGTTCTTATCCCCCTCTGCTAAGCATTGGTGAGGCTGTTCCTGGGATTTTCTGTCTGCTTTGGGGTGCCCCAGTTCAAACTGGATATGAATACTGCGCAATAGAGGCTGACAAGATGATCAGAGGTCTACAGCATAAGGCCTAAAAGCTTGAGGAAGCTGGGTATATTTAACCTCCCTCTCCACCACACTAAGGGGTGGTCTAACAGCAGCTTGTAAGTACTTTTAGTGCAGTCACAAATATGAAGGAGCATAACTCTTCAAAGTAGTGACAGATGACACGACAGGGAGAGATGCTGCAAATCACAATTTGGGAGCTTTGGGCTGGACCATAAATAAAGCTTTCCTTATTAAGAAACAGTAGTGCAACACTAGAAAAGGTCAGCCACAGACATGGTGGAATCTCCCCATCTGTGGGGATTTTCAAGGCTTGGCTGTGCAAAGCCACGACTGACTCAATCTAGTGTTTCCAAGGGCCATTTCAGGCAGAGGGTTCAACTAGATGACCTGTAGAGGGCACCCGTTTCTATGACTCTATCTGTGAAGTCCAATTCAGATGTACACAGTGTGCGAGATGAAAGCGATTTTGACTTGAGCCTTCAGCAGGAGTGTTTTCCAATGCACTCCAAAACATTCAGTCATAGGAATCTACACAGTAATTAACAGGTAAGTGACAGGAGTTACTGCTACTTGACTAGCAAAAGTGATTATTAGTGAACACTATCAATCTTTTCTAGGTACCGGTCTGTTTGCCCCACCTCCAAATACTGCTTTATAGTTTTGGAATCAGATTTTGAGAGACAGACAGGATAGCTACAGTTATCTCCCACTAAGACAGGAGAATTCATCAGCATTCAATTTGGCTTCAGTTTCTGAGGAGGCTAGATAAGTAGAGGAAGACAGAAGGTAATTACGTTCTCCCATGCCTGCATTCTCAATAATCTACAAGTTCCTCTATGTTACTGTCTCTGTACAATGTTTTCCTAGTCTTATCACTTGTTAGAGGACAACTAAAAATACAAGAATCCAGCTTAATCCCACCTGGTAAATCTAATTTTGGGACCACAAAGGCAAGCCAGACAAAACCTAACCGCTTTGCAAAGTACCTAGATGGCTGATATGGCCACATACTATATGGATACACAGCAGCCAAAGTACAAGCTTAAATAACAGGAGTACCTATTTTTCACTGCTAAAAAGTGTCTTGAAACATTAACAAATGAAGACTACATTAATATATCTGGTATTATCCCCTCTAAAGAAGTTGATTTAATAGTGTCACAGTATCTTAAAATATACTTTTAAGACATCACTTTTCTCAAAAAAGAGCTAAAGAAAAAATATATACACAAGATTAGTGTAAAAAGTGTTCTGCATTTTAGTTATTTAGTTGAAGCTACACAGAAAAGTTCAAATCACAGAAGATCATTCTGTACAAATTAGTCAGATGCAACTGTTCCATGCTTTAATAGAAAAATAAGCACTTTTAAATCTTATTCCTACAGAATTAGGACAACAGATTTGAGGATTCTTCACAGAAGCATTCACATCTTTATTTAAATACAGGTAAGATACTATACAAGTAGTATCGGCATCCTCACAACATCATCAAATCGATGTTTTGCCATAATACTTTTGAGCACATCCAGAACTAAAGGAAACCCACATTTCCATTAGCCTGAACAAGCTACACAGCAGGACTTCTAAAAGCTATTGCTCTCACTTGTTCAATAAGCCTTTATTAACCTTCCTCACACTTTTCCCTTCATAACTATAAAGTCATAGCTTCTTCCCAAATCTCCCTAATGCTAAGAGGTAATTGATTCTGCATGTCATTTGTATGCAAATCCTCCTCCTTCTACCACATTTTCACTACTGATCTGCTTGGAAATTTACATTCCATGCTTCAACTTTCATCAAAAATGAGATTAAATCAGAAGGTCTCTTCACATTATACTTTGAATTGACTGAATCTGAACAACTGCAAATACTGCTGTGCAAAAATAGTTATGATTGGGTTTTCTCCTCAAACAAGAATGAACTTGTTTCTACAATAAAATTTACAGAAAGACTGATACCACTGAACTGACCCCAGTATGCTATACGAGCTGGAAATTAATTCAATACCTGTAAAGATTAGTCTTAAATACTAAAGTCAAGATGACGGAAGACTAGCATAAGGACTGAAGACTACTGATTTTACTTCACTTTCTATGACTGACTTTAACCTTTTAAAATACCTGTAGTGTAGCTCTCCTAGGAAAAAAAAAAAAAAAAAAAAAAAAGGAGTTCTCAAATCTGACCTCCCAGCCAGAAATCCAAACCATAACATTCAATCTGTTATTTTTATGATAAAAGAAATATTTTCACTGAAGCATTGTCAAAAAAGACTGAACAACTACAACATGTAAGGGAAAAACAGGGACACGAACAAAAAAAGGAACAAAAAGATAAATGTTCCATTTACGTGTAAAATAACTTTATACCAGTTTAAATTTAAAAAAAAAACACCTCAAAAAATGGACTATTACACTCAACTTTAAGAACAAGATTTTGAGCAGAGTAAGACTGGTGTTTAAGAAAATAATTTTTTTTTTAAAATACTTTTCCAAGAAGAGAGACTGAGCCTGTTTTGAGACTGAGTACAGCACACTGAGCATCTGAAAGAATCTACTTATGCTACACACCTTTAATTGATGTAGATACTCTTAATCCAAAAATCTGCATAAAGGCAACATATAGTGACTTTATTGGCATCTTCTCCATGAATCATATTTCTGACAGGTAATAGCTAACTAATGTCCTATTAATTAATGCTCTACTCACACATTCCTAGGATACAAAAAGCAGCACAGACCTTCTCTGGAAGGTTAGTATGAGCACTAGGAAGAACTGCAATGATGCTCTTTAGTGGATGGGAAGATCTGAGAATCTGGATGTGACAGGACTGCTATGCAAAAGTGTAAAAAGCACCTTAGAGAACACAATGCCTTGGACCAAATTCATTTTACAGTAAAAATGAATGCACGCCTACCTCCCACAGTGCAAAAATCACACATATATATTGCCTAATCCATTTGGGTAATCTTCAGGCTAAAGCAGATAGAAACCAGGGTCCCATCTCCCTACTCACCAGTTGCTGGGGAAACTTACACATGATGTGTAACCAGGGCCTAGTTTAGGCAAAGCCAGATGTGCAAAGTACAGAACCTGACTGTGCTGCCTAACAAGAGAAGATGGAAGAGAAAAAGATACAGAGAAGCCAATGATACTAGTGGCCTGACTGAAGTGGAGAAAACAGTTACTTATGTGACCAAAAAGACAAGCTTGTCTTAAAAAAATAAAAATTGCTGAGCACTTGCAGGCATTGAAATACAAAATCAGCTCTAAGTCCCAAATATTGTTTTATAAGCCTAGCTTTAGTTTTAAAAAAATGTTAGCTTTAACTTTGCTAAAAGTAGGAAATAAAGCAAAGTTTATAGATTTCCTAAAGAAACATAGTTGTAAGCACATAATTTCTGTTTCATTGGTCACTGATCTCCAGGTTGTTAAACGAGATTTCTTATTTATTCAGAGCTGCTATCAGATAAAAGTTCAGGCTTCAAAGAGCCACCAGTTATGTTCCTAATAAAGAGGTAAGTCAAAGAAGACTTTATAGTCCTCACATACAACAAAGCTGCAGTGTCCAAGCTAACACTTACCGATTGCTAGGCCATCACTAAAATTGTGTAGTCCATCTCCCATAATCACCATCCATGCCAGAGTTGCTATTCCGGCATCCTTCAGTTCTTCACGCGAGTAGCGCTGACTGTGACTGTGGGGATGATGGTTCTGATGATGATGGTGATGCAGAATATGATGGTAGTCATGGTGATGATGACTAAGATGATCTGTCTGTCCTAGAGTATCATGTAAGTGAGAATGACATTTGTTTCTACAGCCCCTGGACACATATTCATTGTCAGCCTCTTCTGGATGAGAATGAGCTATCATCACTTCTTCTTCTTCTTGTACCATCGGCTGCTGAGAAATGAAGGGCGATGGATCTTGAGAGTCTGTCCCTAGATAGCCCTCAGGCCCTGTTACAAAACCCCAGAGTATAATGTTACACATTTTTAAAATCACCTAGGCAGCAAAGATACAATAAACAAGTTAAGTGATACAGTAAAGAAAAAACTAGTAAGTCTAGCAGTTGGGAATGATGCCCCAGCTTCTTGTACCAGAAGGTTTTTTTTTTTTCCAAGGGTTTCCACAACTTATTTTTCTTTAATCAGATTTCTGAGATAATTCCTGATAGATCAAAATAAGAAAAACTTTTAGTTTCTGTCCCCTACTACTGAAGCACCCCCTACGTTATGGTCACAAATGCCTCCGAAAAGGTAAAAAAGCTTTTACTCTAAGACCCAGTGCAATTTAAACAAAACAGTATAAGGCTCTAAGTCCCAGTTTCACAGCATGAAGGCTGTTAGTTCAATTGCTTCAGAAAGACAAAGTGCCTGGAAAGCATATGCCATTTATTCATCTTAGGACTGGTGAATAAGAATGCAAAAAAGGATTATGTTATAGATAATTTTGGAAACTCCTGTGATTTATATAAATACTGGAGCTTAAGTTTGAACACCTGAAAAATAAACACTCCAAAATAAAGTCATCAACACAGACCACGAAACATCCTCATATAAACATCAGTGGCACACTAAGGTTAGTTATTTTAACTAACTCCTAAAACTTGCTAAATTCTTCCCCTGCAATTAAATGAACAAATACACTTTTTTCCCCCACATTACCAACAACTCTTTCATTAGTTATAAAATTATTCTAAAAAGCTGAATGCCTCTTTTAGCTACAAGAGCTAACAAGTATTTAGTGAGGTATGTTTTGGCTTGCACCTGATCTTGGGGACACATGACCATTTGCAGTCCAAATACTTCAAGTAGCCTCTAGGATTTTAGATTATCAACCTTATAAATAAATACATACTCAAAATAACAAAATCCAGACTCAAGATATACAGAAATCTAAATAATGGATCACGCATATAACATCTAACCGTCTAAAGAGAAGTGTAGAAGCAAGTAGGTACAGCTGTATTTGCAGCAGGCGTAGCCAGAATTGCTTCACAGAACATCTTCAACTTCTGCTGTTAAATCCAGAATTAAAAGGCTTAAGGCTTCAAAACTCTGAATTCGCTACTTCCAACCTATCGATACTTTTTAAAGGAAGGCAGCCAATACAGCTAGTCGTCTCCATATCAATGCACAGATGGGTTTTTTTGTGAAAAGAATTCAACTAGGTAGTGATCCAACCTACAGTAAGAAGCAGATCTATGAGCTGCCATCAGTCAGGTGTTTTTTAAACAGTGCTGCCACAAAATAATGACAGTAAGTACAATATTACTGAGACTTACGATCATCTGTATCTAACTTTTCTTCGTTCGCTGAAAACTTCTTACTTTCTCCATCATCTTCATTTTTTTTCTTATTCCAAAAGAAAATACTGTAGTTATGAATATTTTACTTATTTTTCAGGACATACATGAGCAACATTATATTCACAACATTTATGCAGCCTGCACAGAAAGAGGACAGCATGGAAGCCATATAAAGAGTACAGAAGAGGAACATTAGAAACTCAGCTAAATACAGTAAGACGACAAAGGCTCCTCAGGCTCCATAGGAGAAAAACAAACAAAACCACACGGATAAATACTCTACATTTTTTCATGCGGAATAAGCAGAGGGGTTCATCTAAGAAGTTATTCCACTAATTCTTTTCCATTCTAGTGCCAGCATAATGGTTTTTTTCTAGTGTACTGAAGGAAAAACAAGTAAAATCTCTAATCGTTGCTCACTAATGTATCACAATTCATGATCAGTGACTCAGTATCTAGAAGGGTGTAACTAGTCTAACGGGAAATCTATTCCCGGTGGCTAAGAGAAGGACACAGAAAATACTTGCTTTGCTTGGAAATCTTCATGTCCTCTCTTGGCAAATAAATTTAACTAGAGAGAGGCAAAGTGAGCCTGTAGCTCGCAGTTAGTTTAGCTTCAGTATAAACCACGCCAACACAACCTCCTGTGACCAAAGTCAAAGAGCTTACATGGCATCTGCTCTGAGACTGCTGCCTTAACAACCAATTTAACAATAAAACTAAACAGAGATTATCAGTCATTCTGGTACCCTAGAAATCAGCTATTTTTAAGCTAAGTAATTAGTAGTTACTAGCTTTCTTCAAGCAAAGCTTAAGATATCGCCAGCTTTTACTGTATCTTTTTTTACAGAGTCAACTTTTACATCATTTTTTATTCCTGGCTAGACTAGTCTTTAAAGAACTCAGTTACCAATAATTGGCAAGTTACCAACATTTATGACTGCTAAAATTCAGTTATTATTTACCTTCCACATAAAAACCAGCATAGTAATCTGAAAGCTGTATTGCTGCTCTTTTGGGGGAGAGAGAAAGGAAAGAAACGAGGGGCTTGGCAGACTGTTTCCAAATGGAACACTATCTAATGAAGTCATTTTCTACAGTGCAGTTGGATGCTTATTTAGGTAAGCACTTACTGCCACCCTTACCCGTTTTGTGCAAGTGCCCTCCTCAACAGGAGTACAATAACTGTACAAGGCCATGTTACTTCATCCAGTTTGAGAATTAAAATAATAATGAAAACAGTTCAGATAGTCAGTTATATAATTGCCTTGAGATGTCAGAAGGAAGTCAATAATGAACAGTAACTTCTTAAATCACTCTGTTAAAACAAAGGGTGCAATTGGATGGTTGCTTATTAAACAGTTCACTGTGGTGTCAAGCCTGTACTATACATATATATATATATGTCTGGTTACGAAATAGCTCAGAGCTCTTCTGTAACAGGACCACACAAAAAAGTTACCATGTAGCTTAAAAGTATATGTGTCACTAATATAAATGTAATTATAACACTAATCAAGTCAGCAATCACTATTAAATTCAGACAGATATATGATACCCCAGATTTTTTTATAAGTGTATTCAGAAATGATCATGCAATACTATATAGCTTCAAAATAATAGTTTCTCTACCTTTTTCTTCTTGTCTTTAAACTGCTTTATTAAAGTGATCAAATGCTCCACTAGAAACATGAAATACAATCCTCCAAGGGCTGTAAGTCCCTTCCATGTAGAATCCAGGTAAGCACTCTCCTCTGTACTTTGAAAAACAAGATGCTTGAACATAGAGCCTTTGTTTTGTTCAAGCAGAGGCTTTTCGTGGTGATGGTGATGGTTTCCATGAGACTAAGGGGAGAACCAAATGTGGAGAGTCATTATATTCAAAAGAACTGGTAACATAAGAAACATAGAAAGTATTCTTCACACTCTTTTCATCAAGTCTGGAGTTGAGACTTGACAATTTTCATGGGGTAAATGCTCTGGTATACAAACCAAAAAAAAAAAAAAAGAAGAAATCTGTTCACAGGAAAAAAACACATTGCAAGGACTGAGAGTAGGCCTGGTATTCACCCTCTTGCTGAAGCTACATGCATACTGCTCAATACAAGATCTACAATTGTCCCCACAAAAACTCCTGACACCATCAAGGAAACTGCATTTTAAGTAGTAGCCACAGCCAGCACACCAATTACTTTCCCATCTAAGACAGCTCATAGATGTCAAACACCTTTTTCTACAAGGAACTTGGCAGTAATTTCCTTCTTTAAAGGAAGCCTGACATTCTTCCCCTCCTCACTAGCTACTGATATGTTCAGAATCGAAAAACTTCTAGGACACCTCATTCACACACTTCAATTTACATAACCTCACACAGCAAATGCAAAGTTAACTGAAAGGAAAAAGAAGAACCCAATGAATTACAGGCAGGGCTCAGAAACCACCACAGGATCCGCAGTCCTTTTTATCCATCTCATCTGAAAGCTGGAACATGTTACCTTTGC